GTTTATTTGGAACCAACATAATGACCAGCTTCCAGTTGGCTTGTTAGCTCACTTGGTGGGACACCAGTATCGCAGAGGTCATAGGTTCAAATCCTGTACAGGCCTGAATTTTTTTTCAGTCCTTATTTTCACTACTGCTCAAGTACTGTTCATTACTGCGAAGATCACTTTCATATTCACATCAATTATTTTTGTTGACTTGATATCCTTTAGCATGCAATTAATAAATTTTCACACTTTTCTTTTCAGTGTTTCATTGAGAATGATACCACTTGATACCACTGTCACTGATGCCTCAATTATTCTGCCGTGCCATTAATTATGCTGTGCCACAAAATGAGCATGTCGGCATCATTTTCCATTTGAATTGCTCTGAAGCCTGCTTTTTCACAATTAAATTCTTTTATTTTCAAGTTCATTACCCATGTAAGTAAGAATTATTTTTTTTTAACTAAATAAAGAAACAAGCTGAGAAATTGACAAGGTAAGAAAGTAAGAGTACAAACAAGATAAAAGCTTTGTTATTGAGTACTCTCCACTAATACATCAACCGATATATTGGTTGATATATTAGTTGACTGACAACTGACTGTCGACTGATATATCAGTCAACAGTTGATTAACTCTCGGCCAACTGTTGGTCGATATATCAATCAATATGTATGTTGGCCAATATAGCTTTTAGTTCACCGATACTTTGCTGATACATCTAACTAGTTAAAATGGTCCAACCATTTAGAATGATCTAACAAGACAAAATGGTCCACCTAATTCTGTAGGACTGTGAAATGCAGGCTACCAAACTGATAACTTTCAGCGGACATTTATTTACCAAAAGTTATCTAACTCAACATGGCAACCAAAACAGTCATAGCTGGAGATTGGGTATGCATGGTCAAAACTTGTGAAAACAAACCAATTTTGACTTAAAGATCCACAAGACACACTAAAACCTATACTCCCATGCTACAAAAATGTCTTTTTCCAAAATTGTATTTCATGATTTAGCTGCAATATCAAGTGAGGTCACATGCCCTAACAAACACAGAATAGAAGGTGCACGGATTGCTTTATGGCCAGAAGAGAGAGCCAATTCATGGTCAAATCATGCTAAAAACAGATGTAACAGATATAACAGTCTGTTGTGAGCACTGCGGAATGAAACCTGACTTTTCAATACACAATTTAAACATGCAAATTAACTGACTGAGAATGATGTTACCTATGTTCTGCCTCCAAACAGGAATATTCTTCTCAAGCCAGGATAGCAGACTTTCCACAGAATCAATGTGACATGTTTCTGATGCTCTGTACTGTCTCCTCCAGGTTGATATCTGTATTATTATGCAATCGTGAAAAAAATAATTGGAATATCATAAGATCTACTGCGAGGGTCGTACATTGAAAAAATTTATGAAAATAACCTTTTTTTACAATGTCTAATATACACGTACTATAGAGATACCTATATTGTGTCGACATCCATAGGGCCCTCTAGCACCTGCTGACAACAGGGTGTCGTGTTGATTCAAAAGTTTTTCTAAGCAGACCTTTCAATACGTTTTAAATGACTGTACAACCCTCTTTAGCCTGAATCAATGTGTGTCACTGGTTTGCTTGAATTCATTGTGAAATAACTAGGTCATGGTGACTGCAATATTGGGTGAGTATAAGGTGACTGCAATATTGGGTGAGTATAAGGTTGTGAAATATTTACTGTATTTTAAATGACAAGAATACTCATATGAAGTGCAAGGAATGTTGAGGTACATCCTGTTAATAATCTTTTTCTTGAGTTATTCACACCTTTAAATTTTGTAACCTACCAAAGAGAGGCTTTAATTAGTTAATTCAATTTCCCTTTCTGGTTAAACTTTGAAGAAATCCTTCCCCTTTGTGCCATGTAAAGTCGTCTCTTAAAATTATAACTATGTTTACTTTCATTTAGGTATTGTTTCTCACGTGTAGCCCTGTATTCAAAATTAATTGTTTATATCTATAAAAATATTACATATCCTTAGTAAAATGCTTATGCTTATCTATGAAGTGCAACTTTCCTGCCCCTTCACCAAACCAACCATTTTATTTTTCAATCAAGGTTATAGGATGATCTGGTTATTACTGACACCTAGTTCAAAAACCATAAACTGACTGTCAATGTAAGCATATACCAGTGCACTGTAAATTTTTTATGATTGAGGGCAATTTTTCCAACTCAATGTATGACAACTTGGTTCTCCCTGTGCTTCTCTAATTGTAGATTGGAATTGAGTAGGTGCAAACTTGATTGGAACATACTAATCTGAATTATTTAACAGGCAAAAACTCTCATCCCTTAGGTATTAATCAACAATATGTTCTTTCAAGTCTGACTTTTGACCTCTCTCAATTCCTGAAATTATATCTGGTTTTGTAATGGATAGAAAAAATATAATCAACTGCATATCATTTAATGTAAATTGTGGACTTGCAAAGTTGCTGCTGACAAGAGGAAAAGCACTGGCCCCCAAACTGACCCCTGAAGTAGACCCTGCTTAACAGACAGCATTCAGAAATTATGTTTTCAGGCCTAATTTGATAAATTATCTCCCCTCTCTGAAACAAGATTTACATCAGCCAACATAAGAAAGGCTAAGCCACAAATAAATTTTCTCCAAAGCCTGGTTACTCAGTTAAATTAAAACCTCTGTGAAGGTCTACAAAGTTGAACTGCTTGCATTGTTTTTCTCCTTCTTATTATAAAACAAAGACAAAAGGACTTAAAGAAAAACTCAAAGTTGTTTGGCTTTGATGATAGAATTTCTTGAAGAAGAGAATTAAATTCTAAAACAAGAGGAGTGCCAATAACCCATTTTGGCAATGTACTAGAGCAGTTGGTTAGATAACTCGGTTGGTAGAGCACTGTGTTGGTGTCCCAAAGGTGATGGGTTCAAATCTGTTAAAGGCCTTCATTTTTTATCATTACTGACTTTACTGACTTCTACCTGATTTTACTGATTTTTTTCAATGGCAAAGGGTTGCTTCAATCAATCATTTATTACTTTGTTTATTATATATTAATATTACCTTTACAAAGATTTTTTTCAATTTTGATAGAATTTTCATAACTCAATTTTATTCACACGAAGCAGGTAGGTTAGTGTTATTTATTCATTGCTGTTGATACCATTCCCTTTGTAAACTACTTCTTTTTCTTATGAGCCAAAGGTTTGTTTGTTTATTCTATTGTCTCAGTATCTCCCAATCTCTATTGAATTAAGTTTGTTTTACTACATTTTCATTTACAAATGTGGCTTTTTGTCTTAATTCTATTAAGACTTGTGGTTTGCCTTTTCGCCTGTACCAGTATACCCTTCCCTGTCCTCTGACAGGGCAGACTAAGGTGCCTATTTTAACAGCTTATACCATGTTTTCATAAAAAGTCAACTCTCTTTGTCATCTAGACAGGCAGATGAGGCCTCTTGACAAGTCTACATTAATAAAGAATATGTCAGCCAAAATAGCAGTGTTGTTTAACTGATGCTTTCACTGAGCTATAACACCATAAAATGCAGCAGCTATTAGAATGATTTGAATTGGTTCATTACTGATTAAGTTAATTTAGACACATTATCAAGTGGTACCATTGACCTCAACCATTGGCCTCACAGGACCTACAACATTATCCTAGGGTGGACTCAGATTCAACCTCATTAAAGCCCTTACTAATTAATGCTTAAGTTCACATTAGTCTCCAATAACATACATTTATTAGTTTATGATATACTACTTGTCTTACATTGGTGCTACCAGTCACTTGAGAGAGGGTGAAGAGTTCTCGAAAGTATTCCCTGTTATCATCCAGGTAAAAAATTGAATGCAGCTAGATTGTCTGAGTTGAGGGCTTGCTGTTGGACTACAGAAAACTCTGATTTTTACCATAATCATTCAAAATATGAAAGAAAAACAAGCAAGAAGTTTACCAAGAAGTTTGTCTCTGAAGGAAGGGCCAATATGTTATAATGCAGAGCCACTAAAGAAGTGAATGAATTCCAAATTACCTGTCTCCCTAAGAAGTTGGACTGATGGCCAAAATCAGAGAGTTCCAAACCCTTCCAATTGATGTTGTGTAGCCTTGCCAAAGTACTGATCATGCCATTGTAGATAGCTTTTCGATCATCTTCTGAATGATTTGGCAATGTGGGTTTACAAAATATGATACCCTGAAAAAAAGAGTTTATCAATCAGAAATCATTTTCAAAAATTCAAAGTGCCTTAAAATGTTCCGGCACATGGCCTTTGTCAGATGGCAGACAATGAATAATGTAAGAATGAACACAAGTAATGAGGCTAGGAAGCATAGCATGGGAAAAATCAATGCCTTTGTGAACAAGAAAAATGATATTTTTAAAAGTACTTTACATGAAAAAATCTCTTGTTGGTGTTTTCTTAGACTTAACTTTCAGCAACTTTTAATAGTACTGAAAATAGCATTTGATATTGGGGCTGTGCAGTTGTTCTAACCAATATCTGACAAAGCACCTGACTTAAGTCCCCTTTTTACTAACCCAGTCATTCTTAGTTTTTCAAGGTCTGTGATGGCTCTTACCATAATCCAGACTCTACTTTGGGTAATTTCTCAATGATTGAAAGGCCCTTTACAAAAGCATTTTCATTACCTACTTTGCCTCTATGAGACAAAGCTAAGACTTCATTGCATATTATTTCACTTCCATGCAAAAGACACTCAGTTACATCTATCATTTAACTCTCTTCTTGATGTCTGACTTTTAAGAGATAAAATTGAAGCCTTGTATTCATGATATTGATTGATGGATGCTACATAATAAATCAAAGGATGAGCAAATGTAAAAATGCAATTGCTGGTTTATAATTTAACGACAATCTTCCTTTGAGTTCTTTAAAGTATCTCATGATCAAGGATACAGAAGTTTCCAATTTGGTAAATTAAAACATAACAGTCTAGTTCTTGTTACAGCATACCTCTTCTATGTATGTAGAGGTATACATGTAGAGCATCTCAAGACTTCACTACTTGAATCTATAATAATTTTCTTTATGATAGACATGAAATTAGGTCTTAAAAGGTATTCATTTAAAAAGTCTATAGCAAAATAGGTAGTAGTTCATGTTAGTCTTGAAACACCATTTGTTTTACTAATTTCCTACAAATCTCCTTTTGCTTTATATTTAGTTATTATGTAGCCAATTACATGATCTAAAATGAAGGCATCAGTAGAAATCATGATTTCCTGGAATTCTATATCAACTTTGGAATCTTTGCTTCTCAGGAAATAGTTCTTACAAAGGGCACTACTCTTTAACAACACCTTGGCTTTTTTCACCCATCATAGCATATAAAAGTGCAACATTAGTAAAAAAGAAGTTGGTCGAAGCTACACCATGACCTTTGCTATGATCAGAAGGATCCAAGCTACCCCTATCTCAAGTGTCTTTGCTATTTTTTTGGCGCAAGTCGTCAACCGAAGCATACAAGTCTTTTCTTTGTTGTTAATTAAGTTGCAGAATCATAATTGGCCTCATCATAGAACATCTTATTTTTAGTCAGCTAAGTGTTATCATTACAGTATCATAGCAAAACAATCTTGGTCCTCAATCTTGGTCCTCAATTGTCCTTGTTTCTTTTCAAATTCATTGTTATTCTTTTATGCTCACTCTAGTTACTCTGTTTTAGTACTGACAATACTGTTGTTTGTATTTTCTTAAGACAAAAGAATTATCACATCTATTCATTTCTCACTAGGAGTTTTCTGGTTATATTATTGCACCAACAGCTACTACTACATGTATGTTTTTCTAATGCTACTGCTATTAAGGCCAAGGAACTTCAATCTTCATTATCTTTATAACCCTTCATGTCAAATGCTACTGATTGATCTAAACCTTTGAACTTTGATCTGTCATTAAATGAGTTTAGAGAGCCTGTTTGCTTTGATCCAATTTGACAGTTTATTGAATTCACTATTTAATGTGCTGATTAGTCAATCTGAATCCATTCTCATTACATTCCCAGTAATAAACAATTAATACCATTTAATGGAAAATTAAAGCACAACAAATTATAGTCTATACATCACTTACCTGTACATGTTCCATGATGTAGAACTCAGTTCCAATGACTGAAATATCTCCACAATAGAGGTAAGGATTTGGCACTGGGAAGGAGGCAGATTTTAACGCTGATAGTACTCTAAATTCTCTGTCAACCTGTAAGGATAAAAAGAAATCTTGAAGAAAAAAACTGACTATATAGTACTGCAACTTCACATTCAAATTTTATAATTTCAACTATGCTCTAAAGAAATTTAAGAAAACTCCTGTAACTCTTACAGATGTATTTGACATGAACTGTGGCATTGGTGACTTCAGGCACATTTTCTGCCCTCAGGTAACTCAAGAACCACTAAGAGCCACTATGAAGCCTGACTACCAAAACAACTGCCTATTGATGTATTGTCACAAATTGATTATGGACATACTTAACTCTGTAAAGATTGCAAAGAGGTTTGCTTGTGCCAATGAACACTACAAAGTTCATTCTAAAAACTTTGAGTAGGGGTATGCACATAGCTGTGTAAGATATAAGCCCCCACGTTTTAAAATGCCTTGCCACCTCTGACAGTAGCCTGTGCTGCACTATCAATCAGCAAAAATAAACAAAAAAATTAGCACCCAAAAAGGACAGGGGTATGGAAAAGAAAAAATAGGAAATAGATTGTAAAAGTATTGTTTGAAATATCCCATTCTGACCACTCAGACCCACCCACTAAAAGAAAATGTTTCAGATTAGGTAAGGTAAAGTTTCAGATTAGATCATGCCTATACTAAAGTTGGGTGTAACCCAGAGAGTTTTGTTTGGGTGGTAGATCAGGAGAAGACAGGTTTCATTTTTCAAAACAGCCAGTTTACTTCATATAACTAAAAGCATGTACACTGTTACACATAAGATCCAGTATATTAACCCTTGTAAATGTGCACCCACATCAATCTGGTCATGCCTCAAAATACAGACCCTCAGTTTCTATTAAAATATCTTTCCCTCCATGAAAAAATACCCGTAGTCAATGTAAAAAGGTGAAAAGGATCATATGGTAAGTAAAAATAGAACTTGAATAGAATAGGAATAAACCACAACTGTTTTCAGAAGGTGGCAACCACTGTATTTACTCGTGTATAAGTCGACCTTTTATGACCAAAAAGTCAGCCCAAAAAATTCACCCTTGACTAATAGACAAGTCATACACAAAGAACTGACCTTAGCAATCCAAGAAATTGGCATAAAAATTGCCTGAAGTCCGTTAGGAAAACCAGGTAAATAAAACCAGTTCTAATTGTGTTTGAGTTTCGTCACTTTTCAGCGCATTCTTGGTAAAAAAAAAGTTTGAAATGATAAATTTTAAGTGGCTGAACACAAAGTTACTGGAGCTGGTTTCTATTGTGTCTTTGGACTGAAGGGCAGACATTTTTGCTTGCAGCTTTCAAATCGCTAATTCATGTCAAAAAAGGGGGGTCGAGAGCCTAGTTCAGTTGAAAAAGGGCTAAGAAATACATCAGCTGACATCGTTTGAATGGATTAAGGTTTATTACATGATAAGCTGTATGATTGGTTCTCACTTGGAATCTTTTGGAAAAACAGATGCATAGATGACGTCACCATTAACAGCATTTTACTTATTTATCATATAAAACAATTAGCTTCCATGTTGGCCTGGTGTCTTTACACAAATGGATTCTATTAAATATCTCTCTTCATGTCTCTCTACATATCTTTCAGTTACAGTGGGCTCTGATTTGCATATTTAATGCTGTAGGCCCGATGAAGATGTTGGACTACTTGTCTTTCATTCTCTCCTCACTTTTAACCAAAGAGTTGTTTACTTAGTTGTCTGATCCTTGCCCAAAGCTGTGGGAAGTGTTGTATTTGAGGTCACACTTTGAAGTGCTGGAGTTCTTTGTCTAGCTTTATGTCCAGGAAAATATGAATGTTTAGTTCTGGCACTATTGGTGACTTTTTTTATTTGCCTCTTCTTTGCACCTTCTTTCAGGTGCTTGCTGTTTACGGTGCCAAACTTTCATTTTTATCGAATGATTTCAGTAGCTTACTGACCTGGCAAATGCTGCTGTCTCATGCAGTCTTGCCTGTTATGCGCGATTCTTTGAAACTCTTCAGTGTTCCTTCAGTCTACTTAATCTCCTTTCAAACTCAACATTAAGATTAAGGTTGGTTAAATGCAAGAAGATTTCATTTTCAAAGTGAATTACAAAATATGATTAGATACTTCTCCAGTAAATCGAAGTGCTTGTGTATGCTTAAATCGTGGTGATGTAAACAAGTACTAATAAAATTCACAGCACAAGGTTATATTTTGCTCTGCAGTCTTTTGAATTCTCCATGTTTTCAATACAATCTCAGAAATAAGAGATTATCTTTCTGGGAAATTCGTATCTGTCTGAAGTTTACTTTTTTGACTAGAAATGATGAAAAATCCAATTTTTGACCTTGAAAACTGGGGTCAACTTATACACGAGTTCGACTTATACATGAGTAAATATGGTATACGCAATTCAAGAGTGTACAGTAAAGCCTCTATAAACAACTTACAAAATAATTGCTTATTAGTGCACAACTGTGGGTTGAAAGTAGCCTAATATTTTAACTTGGATAATAATAATAATAATAATAATAATATGTAATATTTATATTGTGTATTTTCTTTTAAAAAATAATCAAATGCACAAGAAATTATCAGTAGAGGGATGATTCACACACCAAATCTCCTCTAAAACCCTTTAGCTTTTGCAATTAAATATAATTATCATAATTGAGCATTGGGTGCATAACAAAATATTAGTCAACACAACTTATTAGTAGAATTATGCACAACAAATTTAATTATCATGTCCAAAGACCAAACTGCAAAATTAATAACAGGTATAACTTTTTGAAAGCTGCAAACTGTCAGAACATATAAGAGCCAGCATACATGCTCACCTGATGTGCTCCTTTGAGAAGCTTACCAGGAGGTTTTTTCCTGAGAACAAATTCTTTTCCATCTTTTGACAAGTAAAATGTCGGATTGGACTGCCCAGAGCTAAGGAACAATTTGTTGGTAAACAATTGAGATTAGTGATAACTCAAACCAACCCATACAGTCAGATAATTTATTTAAGGATAGGTGACTCACAAACAAGATCTTGATGAAACCTTAAAATGATCACAGCTGATGACGTAGTACTCCACTAAACCATAAAACATGACTTCAAGGGAATTACGGTCAACTCGCCGACGGACCAACTCGCCAACGCCAACTCGCCGAAGTATAAAATCAAGTAGAGACGTCGGCCAGTTGGTCCTCAATCCAATACAACTTATTAGAAGTTAAACATACAGAAAAGTAAACGATATTTAGTAAAAAAACACTGGTGAACATTGGTGAATATCAGACAGAAGCTTAAACATTGGTGAACATTGGTGAACATCATCAATGACTATAACAGCTTAAGAC